CTCTCTCTCTCTCTCTCTCTCTCTCTCTCTCTCTCTCTCAAAATCTTTATTGTTAAAAGTATTATATAGGCCTTTCTTTCCCCCCATAAACCCCATCCTGCTCCCACCTGTCTCCCACCCATGTCCTCACCACCCCATTCTCTGTGTCCATGAGTTAGGCATATATGCAGACAAGTTCATGGGTTGAACTCTTCCCACCCACCCTCCCCTGCCTTCCCTCTGAGGTTTAACAGTCTGTTCATGCTTCTATGTTTCTGGGTCTATTTTTGACCATCATTTTATTTGGCTCATTAGATTCCACATATGAGTGAGATCATGTGATACTTATCTTTCTCTGACTGGCTTGTATGTTCCATTTACCCACTGACAGGCCATAGAGGACATTTGGCTCAAGCGGACTACAAAGTCCTGATGAAGAAAGTGGCCCCAGCCTCATTTCATGGAACAACCATCTGGACCTTATCTAGCACAACAGGAGGCAGCCGCAAGGAGGGCAAGACAGCAGGCCAACAATAACAATGGCCGCTTACAGCCCACAGCCTCAATGGCCAGCACTAATTGGTCTGAAGGACAACAAACTCCATCTAATCAGACTAGAACACTTACACCCCACCCCACCCCCCAGCCTCCTCCGCCTCTTGCGGTTTTTGCGTGTAAAATTCAACCTCCAGGACAGCGGAGGCTGAGTCCTAACCTTCCCTGGTTGTGGCTTCACCCCCTATTCCCTCTAATAAACTCCCCTCTTGCTCGCTGTGTCTGCCTATTTCCTTGAGCAACTCTATTCTTACTGGTACACATGGCACACAGAGTTTTATTTTTCTTAAAGCAGTTGTACTCAGAAGAGCTTCCTGGAAGCTAGCTAAAATCATACTAGGTATTGTCTGTGATGCACCCACTAAAAATGTTTTAAATTTTTGATGATATTGTTAGGAAGGGAAAATATACTATAAAGTTTCAAAGTAGCAAGTGCTGAGATATGAAAATAAGTGACAAAGAAACAAGAAATGGAGAGAGAAAGTAAGGTGTATAAAGTTTCAGCAGGTAGAGTGAGAGAACATTCCAGAAGGATGCTTAGGCCAGGAACTACATCTGCCTTCTAGGAAGGAACTGCTAAGATTTTATTGAAAACTAGAGGCCTGATGCATGAAATTCGTGCAAGGGGCTCGGCCATCGCAGCCACGGTGTCTTGCCTTGGCCCTTGCAGCCCTGGCTTCGTCCTGAAGGTTGTCCAGAAGGACCTCTGGTCTAATTAGCATATTATCCTTTTATTTATTAAAAATTAGTGTTGTTTTCCCCACCTGCCACCACTGATGCTCCTCTTCCCATGATCAACAGTGACCTGAAGTCTTCACTAGGAACTAAGAGAATTTATGAACTCCAGATTTATGGAATCTGTGAGCATTCAGAAAATAATCAAGTACATTATTAAAGGGTGGGAAATAAGTCTTATAAAAAATTAAAAGAATTGAAATGATTCCATTTAAACAAAAATTGGCTAAATTGTTTTACTAATACTAACATTTAAGAGTTATATGTTCTTTTCTTGCAGAATCATGCCTTAAAAATTATCTTTCAAATATAAACATTTGAAATAAAATTTTATTGGGGTCTACTATATGCCAGGTGGATACAATAATAGGTAATACAGAAGGTCTATTGTCATGGATATTACATAATACAAATCAGCTACCATTTACTCATTTGTTCAATGTATATTTTTAAAGACCAATTTTGTTACAGGCTGAGGAAATCTTAATCTTTATAAAATAAGCTATATATGTATTTATTTACAAGTATGAGTAAACTTCAGATCATTTATCATTCTTATGATTAATAGATCTCTGAAAGAATTGGAAAATTATAACTCAAAATCAGAAATTTAATGGTCTAATCAGTGATGTTTTAAACATCTCATAAAATATTCCTAACCAAAACAGCAAGGAGGGAAGTGAAGGTCAATTTGCATTATAAGAAATCTAAATTAACAACGTATGTACTAAAATGTCACCACTTCTAAGTACATATGATTAAAATAACTCAGCTAGTTAAAATTAACAATGAGTATCCTTTTAGGTTCAACTTTCATAGATTTTAAATGATTTAAAATTTGTGCAGAAGCTTTAATTTTGAAGTTTTTCTTGGAAATATTTTTTATTATTTGATAAATGAAACATTCTGGTCTTGATCATATATGTAATCAGTTAAGTAGATTTATTTTGTACATGGTTGGTCTGTAATTCTTCTTCTTGCATACCTAGAATGAGATTCTGATTTAAATATTTTTAATTAGAACTTACATCACTATATTATCATTTTTAGACTATGATTGTTGAATCAGTGATTCTGAAACCTGCCTGGACAGTACAAGGATCTATGAAGTTTTAAAAATTATAGATTATTAGTTCCAATTCTGGTTTAATAAGTCTGGGATATCATTAATTGTAATTTAAATCTGCTGGAATTATTAAGAATTCAAAAATTAAGTCTAAATTAACATACTGCTCAGTTTGTGTTGCTATTTTTTCTGTCTCTTTTAAAAATGAATTTTTCTTGATTTCAGAGAGGAAGGGAGAAAGAGAGAGAGATAGAAACATCAATGATGAGAAAGAATCATTGATCAGCTGCCTCCTGCATGCCCCCTACTGAGGTTTGAGCCCACAACCCAGGCATGTGCCCCAACCGGGAATCAAACTGTGACCTGGTTCATAAGTTGATGCTTAGCCACACCGGTGGGGCTGTGTCTTCTGTCTGTAGCACATAGTTAAAACTTAAGAGATGTCTTTTATTTTGTTTAGTTGATTGACCTACAAGATTGCAGAAAATTATGTAATTTTTAAAAAGAGATTCACATATACTTTCAATATTAATGTAAATAGAATATGATTGTTTAAAAGTTATTTGCAATCTAAAGAGAAATTGAAGAAATATGACTTCACCATAAAGGAAAGAATTATAATAAATTCTAGAATTTCCTCTACATAAATTTGTTTAAATCATACTTATTCAAAATTTCTGTTTATTATGCATGTAATTTGTGTACAGAGGAATGCAATGTTCTGAACTGAAAATAATAATATGACAATCTAAATGGCTAATTTTATCATAAGGTTTTTTTTAATAAAACTTCTTTAAGATTTCTTAAATGAACAAATTGGGTTACTTTTTCTATATGAAATAATTTATTTTGAATGATAGCACCAACAACAGATTCTTTATAGCTTAAATGTTGAGTTCTTTAAAAACAGTTTTAATACATTTAGAAGTCCTCAGTGTTGATTTAGTGAAGATTGAAGTAATTATTCCATTATTCACTGTCTAAATTCTTGTGACTAATGTAGCTAACATGATGTCTTCAAGTGGCATCATGGTAGCTACTGAAGGTATATAAATAGCAGTAAATATTGACTCAGCTATTGCAGAAGAGATAGCTACAGTTTGAGGGAAGAGCTAGTGGGAGAAGGTAGTTGTAGGTTAATCTTTAGAGATAACTAAAGGTTAACTTGCCACAGAAGAGAACATTTTGATGCCTAATGGTGGTTCTGTTAGGTAAAGTGATGATATGGCATTTGTAGTTGTAGATTACAGGTTGATGAAGGAGATTGATGACTACTGTTATTGTAGGCTAAGTAGAAATTACAGTCGTAGGTTGAATGGCCATGGTAGTGGTTGTAGATTCAACTGAAGTAAACATAGTTGTACATTAAAAGAGATGGTGGAAGTGGTGATTGTTTTGGTTGTCCACTGAGAAAGTTTTATCAAAACTTTATGTTACAGCCCTAGCTGGTTTGGCTCAGTGGATAGAGTGTCAGCCTGCAGACTGAAGGGTCTCAGATTCAATTCCGGTCAAGGGCACATACCTGATTTGCAGACTCAATCCCCAGTAGGGGGCATGCAGGAGGCAGCTGATCAATGATTCCCTCTCATCATTGATGTTTCTATCTCTCTCTCCCTCTCCCTTCCTCTCTGAAATCAAAAAAATATATATATTTAAAAAGTTTTATGTTACAATTGCAACTGTTGTAGATTCCATTTAACTGGTAGCTTCTCTGGTTTTAGTTGAAGTAGGAGTGATGGCTGTTGTGGCAGTAAGTTCAGTTGAACGTGTGGAGGTTGTAGGTGCAGTTGAAGTGGTGGTTGCGGCTATTGTGGCTGTAGATTCAGTAGACGTTGAAATGGTTGTAGAGTCTTTCGAAGTGGCTACAGTTGTAGGTTCAGTTGACGACATGGTGGTCACTGTGGGTTGAGGAGCAGCAGAGGTTTTTCCATGAATAGCAGTTACAGGCTCCCCATCATTTGGGGATACCTTGATAACAATGGAAGAGTTGTCATTTCCTCTGTTATTCACCAGGCATATTATGAGGACTCCAATTGCTGTTGTTATCACACAGGCTAAGAGACAAGCCAAAAAGATGTTCCACAGAGTCCAATTATGGCAATTTCTTTTCACCTAAGAGTGTCAATAAAAATATTAGTAATGAAAAACAAAAAGTCTTTCGATTTTTGTTTTGTGTACAACTTAGTGCATTAACATCATTTGAATCCCTATAATCTCTGAAGATATTTAGGCTTAAAAATCCAAGTTTTAATCCAGGTGGAATTAATTGCATGCAATCTCTAACTTTGGAAGAAATCAAAATCTGCCAATATCTCATCTTCTCTTATTCTATTTTCCAATGATGGGTAGGGGGTTCTTCATCTTTTCATGTAAGCAGAATGGCATTTTAATAAATTCTCTGTCATACACCTGATCCTCCACTGGACATTGTCATTACCCCAACTGCTCCACTTCCAAAATCACTTCCCTAAGAATCCAGTGTTCTAACCACCATCTCCTCTCCTTCCATCTTGTTAGTTCAATTATTAGTATAATAACCTTTCTTTACTTTTATTAAAATCTTCAGCCCAGGGTGGGTAGGAAGAGATCAACCAAAGGATTTGTATGCACATATGCATAACCCATGGACACAGACAATAAGGTGGTGGAGGCCTGGGGCAAAGGGTGAGGGGCGAGGGGCGGGGCAGGCTACAGAGATCAATGGGAGACCAAAGGGGACATATGTAATACCTTCAACAATAAAGATTTTTTTAAAAATCTTCAACCCAGCAGCCCTTGCTTCACTCATATCCCTCTTTGTCCACCTTTTGTTCTATGTTCCATGATTTCAGTAACACCAATTCCCCAAAACCTCCCACAGTTTCTTCTTTTCATTTCTTCCAGCTGGCAAACACGTGGCATTCTGCTTTCTCTGCACCTGCCCACTGTGAGCAGCCACACTGTTGGGGAAAGTCAAGCACCTGGGCTGAGCAGAGTCAGGATAAATGTGTGATCACCATTCTTGAGTGGAATTTCTGTACTTCTCTGCCATCCTATTATAGTTCTCCGATTATATTTCTCAATCTTCTTCTTTCTCCTCAAACTTGTAACCTCCACCCACCAGCCTTTACACACACACACATTGAGAGGGTTCACTTGAAACGCAGGCAGACAGGGCAGGGGTCTAGTGGGAAACAAAGGCAGGTGGGACATAGGCAGGGGCAGACATGGACGTTTGAGCAGCCTAATCACAGAAACCAACCAAGCAGAAATAATAAAATGTTTCTGGAATCAAAGAGGGAGGCATGGGAAAACAAGGGAGGGCCTGCAACAAAAAAGTGAACTGGCACACAGAAACAGAGAAAGTTCGGGTCCATTGCTGGGCAAGGACAACAGAGAGAGACATAGAGCAGGCTTGTAGCAAATATATACTCCTGGACTACAAGGCTTGAGGGGGGCAGCCCATTATTGCTTCCCACCCCCGTGAGGGGAGTCTGAATCTGCTTGTAATACATTTAACAAGGCTTGAGGGGGGCAGCCCATTATTGCTCCCCACTCCCGTGAGGGGAGTCTGAATCTGCTTGTAATACATTTTCCACACTTTTGCTTAAATCTTCTGGTCCGTGGAGCTCATTCTTTGGTGTCAGAAAACACGACCCCGGGGATACACCTCAACTCACTGTTCTGGTTATCAACATTGTCCCTTCTCATTCCCATCAAATGACTTCACAACCTTTCTACTTCGTTAGGAAACTTGAAACCATCAAATAAGAACTTTTTTTAATTGATTAATTTTAGAAAGAGGAAGGGGAAAAGAGAGAGAAACATCGATTTGTTGTTATACTTATTTATGAATTCGTTGATTGCTCCTTGTCATGTGCACTGGCCAGAGGTCAAACCCACAACCTTCATGTGTTGGGACAATGCTCTAACCAACTGAACTACCTATCCAGGGCCTCAAACTGCAAGTCTTTCAAACCCCCTCTAGGTCCCAAACCTGCAAACAGAAACATGCCTGGGCTCCAGCTCTCTTTCTTCCCTGATTTACACAAGAGGAGCAAGCCCTCCTGCCTGAGATGGATCTGCCCATCTGTCCTTCCGTCCCATCCCCTCTGCACTTTCTTTCCTTTTGATTTCCCCTTTCTATTGGACTGAATACTTCACCACTTTCCTCTTCACTGGATTCTTCTTTTTAACATTTAAACACACTCAAATCTCTCCCCATCTTAAACAAACAAAAAATGCATGGTGTGATTCCAAATCCTGTCTAGCTACTTCTCTTTCTCTGGAAAATGAAATTTCCTGACAGTTGTCTAATGCAATGTCTCCGTCTGCACACTCTTCAATCCAAATCAGTCTGGCTCCTGCTTCTGTCATGCCATGAAATACCTCTTAATAAAGTCATCAGGGACATCCATTCATTAAAATAGAACTAACCTAGTTTAGCTCTTCTCTTATTTAAGCCCTCAGTAGCATTTGCCACTGGAGGCCATTCCTCTTTCTCTTTATTGAATAATCTCTTTCCTTTGCTTCTGTGATATTCCATTCTCATTGATTTCCTACTAAACCCCTAGAACAGCGGTTCTCAACCTGTGGGTCGCAACCCCTTTGGCGGTCGAACGACCCTTTCACAGGGGTCATCTAAAACCATTCTGCATATCAGATATTTACATTACGATTCATAACAGTAGCAACATTACAGTTATGAAGTAGCAACAAAAATAATTTCATGAGGAATTGTATTTAAAGGGCCAGACGGTTGAGAACCACTGCCCTAGAATCTGCTCGGTTTCTTTTGAAGGCTCACTATCCACTTTGGGGCTTTATTGTTGACATTCACTTGTCTCTTTTCACTCTAACCTGGGATCAACAAACTTTATCTGTAAAGGGCCAAATAGTAAATATATTCAACTTTGTGAGCCATACAGTTTCTGCCACCACTACTCCAGTCTGCCACTATCATGACAGGAAGTAAACAAGTAGGCATGACTGTACCCCAATAAAACTAGATTTACAAAATAGTGGTGGGCAAGATTTGGTTACTGTGCTTTCTTTCTCATCTTTCTCATTCATAACTATTATTTTAATTACCACTTATATCAGAGTGACTTTCAAGTTTATGTCCAGCCCAGCTCTCCTCTCCAACCTTCAAATGCTTGCATGACATCACATCTCAGATCTCAAAGGTACCTCAGACTCACTGTATTCAAACTCAAAGTCATGATCTTCCCAGTGAACCCTGGCCAGCTCCCACATTTTATTAAATGGCGTCACCATCTATTACATTCAGTTCCAAAAGCTGGAACTGAGAGTTCATCCTTGAAACTTCCCAATTTATTACTAAGCCCAGTAACTTTATCTGCTAAATATCTCCTACTATTGTTGACTTCACCACCCAGAGGCAGCATGATCTCCTCAGGCACCTATTTTTGCAACAATACCTGAGTATTGATCAATGATTGTATTATCAGGAGAGGAATGATACACCATGAGGGTTTTTTTTCATAATTGTTCTTGGTGTATCACCCATTTTTAAAGTAATAGTATTCATAGCCTGTTGATGAATCAAATCCTAATAATAGCCCTTTATAACTTCCCATCATCTGGCATGGAGGTAGCTGCTCAGGACATAATATGACCAGAGGGACCTAGAGAATCCACCTGAGTGCACTGGCTCCTTCCCAGGCTTACTGACTGCAAGTGTACAAAGGAAAGAGCAACCTTGCCTGGGCATGGCTCAGTGGTTGAGCATGAACCTATGATTCTAGATCAGGGCAAATGCCTGGGTTGCAGGCTCGATCCTTAGTGTGAGGCGTGCAGGAGGCAGCTGATCAATGATTCTTTCTCATCGTTGATGTTTTCGTTTCTCCCTCTCCCCCTTCATCTCTGAAATAAATAAATAAAACTTTTTTTAAAAGGAAAGAGCCCCGTAGAAACATTCCAGTGATCTGCATTTTAACCCTACTTAACTTCTCACTAATCCTGATCACCGATTAAGTTATTTACTAGTATGGTTTAAAAGAAAAAAACACACTGAGATTTGATATTAGAAACACTGTATTGAAATCTACATTCTGCCTATGCAAATTGTTTAACTTCTCTGAGTCCCTACTTTTTCATTTATGAATTGGTGATAAAATTGCTTGTGACTTACAGGATTACCTTAAGAATTAACAAAAATGAATGCTTCGTTAATTCTACAGTGTTTTTGCAAATATTTATTGTTAATAGTCTTAGTCAACAAAGCAAAGTGGAAGAGTGCAATCTTTTTAATTGGAGAGATGTGTTAAAATTTCAGTGTTATGACATCTTATATAATTTCTTATCTTCTCTGAGCCTCAAATCTTCTTATCTTAAAATATAGGGCTAAAAATATCTATCTCACTAGTTTTCAAAAATACTTTTATTTTGGATGCAGAGTAGCATATGGATTAAGATCAAGAGCTTTGGAATCAAGAAGATTTGGGGGTTGAATTTTGGTTCTGCCACTTATTAGCTGTGTAGTATTTGGCAATTTTATCTTTCTAAGCATCAGTTTCCTTATAATGATAATGATCCCTAACTAATAAGAAATATAAGATAAAAATAAGTGTTTGTAAAGTGCCTGGCATAGTGTCAGGTATGTAAATTTTCAATTGTCTAAAGTGCTTATTATATTGTTACCTGGATGAGAGTAAAACCCTCAAGAAGTAGAATATAACACTCATGCCTTATAGACAGACTAGAGTAGACATTAAATGTTACAAAATATGGGCCCCAGCATTTCTTGGGTTTCATGCAGAGTGGCAGCCCCAAGGCAGCAGGAGTACAATGAAGGCATGGGTCACCAAGGCCAGGGCAATGAGGACCACTAAGTTCGAGTTAGCCCTAGAAAAAATAGTTTCTTCACCTTCACCAAAGGCACTTTAATGGAGTCTAATCCTTCCTTTAAAAGAAACTGAAAAAGAGCAGCTTCTTAAAATAAAGTGCATGTGACCAGAGAACAGGATACCTAAGTTCTCCTGTTTTAGTCACTTCATCACAAGTTATGTGAATTCTGGCAAATCTCTTCGATTTCATAGGCCGTATTGTCCCTGATTTTTAAAGATGTTAGAATGGGACTAGGTCAGTTATTCTCATCACTGGTTGCATTTAAAAAATATTGATGCATGGACCCCACCCCCAGAGTTTCTGACTTAATTGGTCTGGGGTGGGGCTCAGCCATTGGTACTTCATAAACAACCCCTAATTCTAATATGCAGCAAGGGTTGAACTACCAGATCAGATGTTACCTCAGATGTCTTTCAATTCTATGATGCGATGGATTTCTTTATCTCCACAAACAAGAAGAAAGATTTCCTAACTGCCCTGTGGAGCTCATTCATTCTTTTCTATTGCCCCAGCAACAGTATAAGCAGATTATAATTTTAATCCAGAATCAAAAAACAAGACTCAGACTCTTTCTACTGACCATCTACAGCAAGATTAAGCAACAGAGGGTAGGAATTCTAGAGTCAGGGGAACACAGCCAAACTTCCAAGCAGAATAAGCAATTTATAGTCAAGGTCAAGACTAGGGATGAAGATTGAGAGATACAGTCCTGAGGTAAAGTTCATTCAGCTGACCAATAGGGTCACAAGCCAAGGAGAGCTGAATCCAGTCTCCAAAGCTAGTGGGGAAAAATCTGCAGAACAGAGCCAGGTTTCTATATCAAGGTCATACGCACCAGAGGTCAGAAACAAGAGACAAAAAGAAAGTGCCACCAACATTGTTCAGAAGCTGGAACAATGTAAGAAAAGTGAGCTCTCACCAATACAGTAGGACCCTTGAGGCTTTAACTATGACCCAATCTCCCACCGGAGTCTAATTAGAGAATTAAGCTGCACATTGCCAACATATGCGCTCCTCTGCCCCTCCCCAACCCCGCATTTGTACTTTATATTTATTCCTTTGAATTTCACATATGTTCTCTATATATGTGAGTACTTCAGTCCCCAACTAGGACTTTGGCCCTTTGAAAACAGAGACTACAAAGTATTTTCCTTCTTATGATCTGCCTCGCAATGACTTATAACTTTAACAGCTAATACAGCAAAGGCTTACCCTGAATGTGGGTGAATTAAATGATTGAATACATTTCCTGAGAAAGAAAAGAACAAATACATCCCCGTATAGAGCACATCCCAACCTGGGTAAAAGCTGCAACACATACAACATTACCTGGGTATGGGATGATTCTGTTTGTGGGTATCCTGAATGTCCAAGGACTCCTGGGCCCACGCAGACCCCAGTTGAGTTGGAAGAGATATCACAGGTTATGTCACGTGAAAGTGGACGCCAGCATGCAGAGTTGTGAACCTCTTGGTCATTTGAACATGTGATTGGCTGTGGAGATAAAGCATAAGTGAGTAGGAAGATATGGTGATACATTTATCAAATTAAACTCTATTAAAAATAAACAATAGTGTGACTTTTAAGAGGAATAAAGACAAGACTTCTGAAATGAATATTTTCTTATTACTCTATGAAAATAAAAACATCTAGACAGATTATTAAACATCACATTTTAACCAATTTTTGTAAGCAACTGATGTTCCAGATCAGGAATGTGTATCATCTCATCTTCTCTGTCATATTACAAGCATGTATTAAATACCCTCATGTTGCAAGTTACTGTATGTGGAGCATATATGAGGAAGCTTCTCTTCATACAAGGAATAGAATGTTAGAACTAAAAAAAAAAAAAAGAACTGCTTGCAGCTTATCAGGTAAAACCTCCTAAAGGTCATTTTGGTAATGAGATTTTGAAGCAAAAAGAGTTAAATTATTATTGTTATTATTATTATCATTATTATCCCATAATAAACATATAGCAAGCACTGGGGTCCAGTGCTTAGGTCAGAGTACTTTTCATTCCACTATACTACATATAGTATATTGTTTTACTAAAGTATGATAATAGATTAAGATAATGTATTCTATACTACACTATACTAATAAAAATGTTCATACAAAGAGACTTTGCATGATCCATGCCATGCTCTATACAATGGAACTCGAAAGCCCAGGACAGGGACACAGAAGACAAACCATTTGTCCAGTTTGTGATACGGCTTTGCTGGCTTCCCATTGGGCATACAGCAGGGTAAAAACAGTCCTCAACAACGACAGCAAAGGTCTCTACTCTGGGAATTTATATGCTCGAATAACAGGGAGACAAAACAGATTTGTGCATCGTTAACAAATAATACGATAAACGCAATATGTTGTTGAGAAAAAGGTGTGATACAGGTTGAACATGGGTGAGTTCAGTGGGAAATATTTGGGGGAAGAGGTGTGCTAAAACAAGCAGAAGAACAAGATAAAGTGAAAATGAGAGAGGAATAGGTTCAGGAATTTATGGATCTTGATCAAAAGTTTTGTTACATCTCAAAAATAATGTGGAATCATCCGGGGCTCTTCAACTCATGGAATAATAACACTTTCTAGCTGTGAGTCAAAGGCACCTTTACCTCTCCTTGCTCGTCTGCAAAGGGAGGACACTAAAATACCCACTCGGAGATTTGCTGTGAGGATTTATGAGTAGATAACTGCCGGGGGGTTAGAGCAGTCAGACAGAGAGCATGCACTCAGTAAGTGTTAGCTATTGCTGTTGTTAGTATCAGTATTCATGTTTCCATTCCTACTGTTACGACTACTAGTTGTCTTTGATCGTGTTGATTTAATAACACATTACTAGATAGCTATAAAATGGCTAGTCCAACCATCAGTAAGTTTCATAAAATTGTCAAACTGGATTGTATGTGGCCATTTGTCTATTAGGAACTGTCATTAACAATGCAAAAAATAAATCATTGTTATTTAATATAGATAAGATGAAATGCTCTCGGCAGTAAAGTGATTGCTAGGTTAGATTTTTCTAAATGTTATATCAAGGAAGTAAAGAAAACAGCTCTATGCTTTATTAAGATTTAACCAAGTCCATATTATTCACTAGGTAAATTTGAGCGAAGTTGGACTTACCTTTAATAACAACCTTGCCTATTGTCCTAAGTGCTGATTCTGTTGCTTTAATTATTACCCAATTTGCCAAAAGCTGGTGATATTTTAACACACTTTGAAAACAAAGTAAAACTCACTCACCCGGCCTGTTTTTCAGAATGTTCTGGCCCTGTTGGAATCCCATCCCTTTCAGAGAAGGAAGATGATAAGTGGTGTCTACACGAAGGGTGCAGAACCTATGATCTAGGCTCGGCTTCTGAGTAATATTTTTACTGTGTTAGGTTTCTCTGAGTCTTAGTACAGGCAGAGTTTCTATACAAAATTGGAATAGTTGGAGAACTGGGAATAATATTTAATCCAATATTCAGCTTTAGTTAATAATGGCCAGAAGCAACTGAAGTGCATTAGCTGTAGTTACCAAAGAAAGTTCTATAGGTTTTTCCGGTAACTTTATAAGGATTAACTTATGATCTCCTACATCCCAACAGAAAAACAAAACACCAAAATTTATTTTCTTTTGATTTATAATCTTCAAATAATCCTTAAAGTTCATTATTAAATTTAGTCTTCAGAGAAAAATATATTTATAGCTATGCTCTAAATGTCCATAGTAAAGTGAAATAGTCAGCTGTCCAGATACATGCTATAAAAACAATTTAAGAAAATATCTGTAAAGCTCATCAAGTTTGTTGCTATCTAGAGAAACTATAAAAACGATGAATATTTGGCTCAAGGGATTTTTTTTCTCATTTGCAAGTTCCAGCATCCTGAAGACCCAATCTTAGTATCTCAAACTCAGAAGAGACAAAGAGAACATTCTTGAGGTGGGGCCTTTGTTCAGTGACTCAAGAACACAAGCCCCTTCTCTTCTGGTGACAGGAATCACCTATGGGAATCCTTTTAGTCACTAACACCGAGCAACAGGACTGTCTCCTTTGGCTTACACTGCAGGCGATGAATACAGGCTGGGAGCCACGGCTCCAAATTGCAAAGGTAAAACATTTCATTTATGCTTCAGGCAGTGAATTTTAACTTTCCATTTTAATTTTTTAGCACATTTCCATCAAAGATTATTGGTTCAGACATAACCAGATACATAAAAAGCACTTAACTATATAGTGAGGGCTCGATTCCAGGTGGAAGACATTTTAAAATAGACAAAAGATTATACTTTTGTACAAAGTAGAAATATTTAGAGGATTTCTTTCTCAGGTCTAAAGACAATATCCAGGATTAATAGCAGGATTTCCAAAACACCTACAAATCTGAGTTCTGACAGATTTATAAATTATACATAAAATACAATCTCAAAACGAAACCAAAGTTGTTGAATGAAGAGGATAAATATAGAAAGCTAAATAGATTTATTCACATATCATGTGGTCATAGAAAATTTCTAATGCTTTATATCAGTAACTATATAAAATAATTTCTAAAGTATAATATAGTAGAATATAGCATGAAAAGTTGAGGCAAATATATAATACATGGCTACTCTTCCTTTCAGAGAAGAATGCAAAATTATGACATTGACTGCATAGTAGTAAAGAGATTAGATTGCTCTTAAATGCTGAAAACAAGACTGTCACATAAGCAAAATTTTAAAGTAGAGCAATAATACTCACCGGTTGGTTTTCAGACTGTTCAACATTTACTACGTATTTCCCATGTTTCCTGTCCATTTTTGAGTTTGCAATACTACAAGCTTAACTCCAAGAATATTTTTCAACACATGCATTGCCCTTTATAACCCTGAGAAATAATTAAAATGATTGATGAAAAATCAACTCTGATGCATCAGTGCAGGTGTGGATTAAAAAAATAACAAATAATTACCAACTAAAACAGGATCCACCTTAGAGAAGGAAATGAATTAATTACAGAAAGACACAAGAAAACCTATACTTCCTCCGAGCGGTCCTGTGACTACCACCCTCAACAGAAAGGAACTCTGAACATCTTATATAAGTTTCAATCCTTCGGCACGGCTGGGTGGGGCTGGCACCTAGAATTAGACTTGCCCACAAGGACAGAGACTGCAGGAAGTCAGGCTCCAAATAAGAGCAGGGACCTGGCGGCTCCCAGGGTGGAGACGGTTTCGTCATCCATACTGACCCTGCACCTCTGTCCAGGCATCAGGCAAATGGTTGACCAGCGCCTCTGAGAGGGTCACAGAGTGTGGGTCAACAGTGAATCGCGCAGCCCATATCTCTCTCTCCTTGAGAACAGCACAGCCTTGGATCTGGAAGCTCAGGTTCACTGAAGGGACCACAGTCCACAGGGGTGGGCGCAAAAAGCATAAGGGCTCCAGGCTTCATTGAGAACTTGCAGAAAATAGGCTGGCTACTAGAATGGGAACTCAGAATGGAAATTTAAGGAAACCTCAGGCCTACAACATGGGGCAAAGAGAGAAATTGGGGCTTGTACAGTCCAGAACCATAGCTAGGTCTTCAGAAATGAGGCCTTATGGGGAACTGGGGTCAATCCTAAATATGGGATTAGAGTAAGACCCAAGTGCTCATCAGTGGGACATCGTAGCCCTGCTAGGGGTACAGTGGACAGTGCAGGAACCAGCAGTCCCAGAGTCCAAAGGTGGGACTTTGCTTATTTCATCAACTTCATATTGGGTGGAAGATGGGGTGTGAAAGACAAGAGCTACTAGGGCTGAAGCAGCACATAGAACTTCTATCTGAGTCAGGTTTGGATCTGGGACAATGATGGCAATGGAGGGAGGACTGAAGGAGGCTGTAGTGAATTGGGCTTGAGGGGCAGGTGGGGAGAGGGCAGCCGGGCAGGGCAGTGAGGCGAAGCTGAGAATTCCTGGTTACTCCTCTAGGAGTAATATTTGAAATATCAGGAAAACCCAGGTGGCAATCTTTGAGGAACGAAGCTGGTCATGGTTTGCAAGAGGCTAGTTCTGATCCAGAATGTAAAGGTCTTCACACACCTGGATACATAGAGAGAAGGAAGGAGCAGTCTCAGAAGACAGCAGCTGAAACACACAGAGCAGCGGAAAGAGGCAAGGCATTGGGGGACATTCTGAAGGTCGATCTGGATGTAGTAGGAGGCTATAATGAAAATAGAGAGCTATTAGGTCAAATAGACAAAGGGGAAAGGCAAATGTCAGATGTGAACTTTAAAATGTGCATTGAGACTGAACAAAACAGTAAGATGTTGTGTAAGGAAATAAATGAAAATTGTATTTGGAATAACCAATTTTATAGCCACTGGTGTCAGTTAAAAAAAGAGATTTTATGATTATCCCTGAATTAATTCCAGTTATAATACTGTAATTCACATTGCTGGCTGCCTTTTATGTCCCCTACCTTGTACTGGATGCTGAAATATGAATAATGGTCCCATTATCTGCCGGGAGCCAGTCCATCCTTGCTGCTTGACACAGTCACTGCAGGGAAGAAACATCTGCACAGCATATGTTTCAAGGAATCTGGAGTATATGGCATACTGTTCTTAATATGTTTGCTCCCCTTCTTGGCGCTATGTGTTTTAACCAAGGTCACCTCTCCGAGAAAGGTTGTTTCCC